TACAACCAGCTGTGACAGGACCTGCTGCATGATGGGTATGACTTTAAGCCCGATCGGCTAACCGACACGGGTACTAATAAACCGATCGAGTATTTGAGTAGCAATTCCTCGGAAATATATTCACGGAATGGAAAGTGGTAGATGAAAATATGAAAAAAATGTCGATAGGTAGTTGTCCGAGATGGTGTTTTTTATTCTTCTACATTACTGACTTGTCTTGTGAACAGATCACACTAACTCTTAAATTTTGTATTCGTAATCGATCAAGGAATGTTTGTGCCAAATTTCAACTCCCTATCTTCGTTTTTACGACTGCGACGATTCACTAAATTTTACGCTTAAAGCAAACATGACGGCATAAATGATGGAATATCTGGTCCCAACTATTTATATTGTTTCTAAATATGTTTGTTAGCTTTAAGAGAACTCGGGAGAAGGCGTCCTAACACATCGTGACAGTTACTTTACATCACTTACAGAGGGAGCAATGCTAGCAAGTGCATGATGATGTCTTTAGCATTCATGTGAGTAACTTTTTATTAATAAACTTTTATGAAATCATCTCTCGATATTTATCATTCATCAATTTCGAAATCAGATAATAGCATATTTCCTATTCTGCCATCCATATAGCATCTGTAATATTCCGGGAAATGTTTTGAGCTAAGTGCATGATCCAATTAAGTTATTTGGACAATCTTAAGAGCAATTAACATAGAAAAGCTAGACTTGCTTTATAAATTTTGTGGACTGAATTGCATAAATGACAAATCTAAGAACGGATAATAAATCGTCAATATATTGAAATAAAATTTTGAAATTTTTGAATTTCAATAGCCAAGAGAGATGTTGTTTAGAAATTTGTTACAAAAGAAAATATTAGGTTGGAGGGAAAGTTATGTCGTATTTTAAAGAATATATTTGAATTCATTTATAAAAATACGTGTTTAATATTAACCGTTATTTCTTACAATCTGATGCCATCTTTCAGGTAACCTGTGAGTTGCTGTTTTGTAGAAGTCCTCGTCCTTGAAGTTAAAAGTAGTCAGCGACTGCCTTTGAAACACTTTCAAAAAACTTGATTTTTTTTGCCCATTAGATAATTTTGCAGAGATCTGGACAGGTAATAATAAGGTGGTGCACTGAAGGGTGAATACGGTCGGTGACTAAGGACTTCCCATTCTAACGCATTCAGTTTTTATTGGGTCGCGATTGCAGTAAGCGGTTCGAACATTATCGTGGTGAAACACTGTTCCTTTTCTACAGGCTAATGCAGGCCTTTTTTCTTTGATAGCTGCATTGCAGCTGATTGCAGTACAGATCCGCGTTAATAGTTTTTCCCTGTTTCAGCAACTCGTAATACACTGGACCTTTCCTGACCTTTCCACCACAAACGAAGCGGTACTTTTCATTAAAGGATACTGTGATGATGTGCCTGATTTGCAATAAGATTTTTTGCTCTTAAAGAATCTACTTTTCATCTCCAGTAACCAGCTTGTCCAAAAACGGCTTCACATTGTGTCTAATCAGATGTGATGAACACATTCTTATACGATCAGGCAAATTCTTTTCCGTTAATTCATGTGGAACCCAAACACTTTGCTCTAACACAGACGCAGAGAGAGATTTAATGTGATCTCTAACAGTTGTATGATGAATGGCAAAAGTACGTTATCGACCCTGGATGATCGTCCAGATCGATCACTTTGTTGTAGGCTCAGATCCCCGGAACCAAATTTGCTAAACCATCTTTGACGAGTACGAACATTTACAATACCTTTGCAAATACCGCATATAAATTTTGTACATGCAACCGATGCATCGCTTCTTTTTTGAAATTCATATAAAATGCAGTGTCGTAAATGCATTTTATGTACTGACATATTTTTCACTTTAAATATCGCAACTAAATGATGAACGGTAAAAAAAAGGATTCCTTTTATATTCTACAACAGGTAAAAAAAAAAAAAAAAAAGAAAAAAGGAAATCCGAATGACTCACTAGCCATATGTTTGTTTTTTTTATTCATAAGAAAAATTACATGCCTATTTAAAATACGACAGAGCATTCCCTCCAACCTATTAATATTTTGATCGCTTCTTTGCGATATCTATCTAAGATTGTGCATACCTAACATACGCCTCGAAGCGTGCATAACTTTCTTACCCATTTATCTAATGAAAGCGTTTGCCTATAGATATGTCAACTTGCTTCCGTTATCTATTCATAGCATTTATACGCTATGCGCACTAATCCAATAATAAAATGTATTCAACCTTTCTTTCTTTTTTTTCATTCTCTTCTAAATTTTGATTTCTATTCACCTTTCTTGCTGCTCATGTCAAATTTTTAAACGCTTGAATGAAAATTCGCTGTGAAAAGAACGCAAAGTGCTACACCGTTAGTCGTTGGGTATAAATTCTGCACATTTTATTAATTGACCGCGCAATGTGAAACGCTTTAGAAGTGAACATGTGAAGTTTGCGGTCAAAATATTTGACGAATTTTTCAACTACTAATCGAATAAGAATACATACAAAAGTAGTTTATAATTGTGTAAGAAAACATGAAGGGGACCGAGGAACCCATAAAAAATCGATCCTTTACATGTTTTTTAAACCTATAAGATATAACAACAACAAAACATCGATTAAACATTACATACAATCTTATCAAAAAGATCTTGAATTTTATTTCATTTGAGTAAAGGTTCGCAAATGGAAATTTGAGCCAAAAGATCTTTTAAATTTTGATTCTTGCGGACATCAAATTCTTTTTTCATAACCAGCCTTACAGAAGTGGTTCAAAGAGTTTTCTTTTCAGTCAAAATTTAATTATCAAGAATTTCCCTAAAGTTACTCGAAATTTCCAGAAGGTACTGCTCATTGTAATAAGCACCAACGATATTTTTCATAAACGAGCGCCTCTGTAAAATACAGCGAATTGTTTTTAAATACTGGCTGGTTTCCAAAACGCAATTACTCTCTGAATTCTTATTTAATTTCTCCAAAGTACGGTTAGTTGCCTTTATGTTGCTCTGCACACGAAATTTTAATTTTTGTTTGAATTTCTTTTTCAAAAATAACAAAAGTAACGTCACTAGAACAACTATAACTACTTGTTACTTGTTACCTAATTGCAGTAATGGCATAGAGTTTTGAGATATTACCTCAAAATCTCATGAATTTGACAGTAGTGGCGACATCTATATGTCATCCTACAATGATTGAATGATGTGTTACATGTGAGAGACACGCACCCAATACAAATACAACTTACTCTCGTCACAATTCCATTTATTCAATGGAATGCAATAGCGTTTATAGCAAATCGGATAATCCTCGGACAATTTTATCGTAAATGCCTTTTGAGATCTTTATTGCACTAAATAGAAATATAAAAATATTTTCCATCTTCAAACCATTTGAAAATTTGTCGAAGCTATTTATAAAGAGAAAAGAAGCTATATAAGGATTTTCTTTAAAAAGTACTCCTTTTCAATATTTTTCGCTGAATGATTATAGCTATTGTCAGAGAAGTATGACTCGTTGAAAGTATATGAGGCTGGTCGCGTTCTTGCGTTTGTTATACGTATGATGCGAAAAATCAATTGAGACGCAGTCGTATTGGTATCCGGCAAAGTTATTTTAAATTTAAACTTCAATATCTCTGCTCAGCGCACGCACTACCATGTATCATATTCCAACATATATCCTTGGAAAATATATTGTAACACCATATATAAAAAATGACTTTAGCTTTAAGCGATTACAGCCTTGGTTTTATTTATCTTTTGTGTTAAGAGGGCACGTGGGTGTCGCACGGTGAAATTTTCTAAAACAATATGTTATGAGTGATTACCTGAGAACGCTTACAAAAAACGCTACTTCACGGGTGTAAGGATAGCTCGTGATGGCCTTAGCTGAATTCAACAACTCAAATAATTTCAGCCAATAGATGCGTGGGGCTTACAATTAAAAGGGACGGATTAAAGGAACTCGAAATTTGAATTTTTCTACGGGTAGGTGAACTTTTACCGTGTACTCTTTCGTTAAGATATGCAATAGAGGTGTGTAATTGTCCAAAAAGATTGAATCGTACCAACCGTCTTTAAGATTTGATATACGCAGGAATTGAACAGATAAGAGCATTCTTTCTTGAAATGCCATGCCATGACATGCCTCCTACGATTTTTTTCAGATTTCCACCAAAGTTGAAATTCTCACGTTCAGCATTGCTTTTCAAATCACTATGGGAGGATACACAATCAATTTTAAAATTTATTACCAAAATGATGAATCTATTCAGGCTACATTAAGTGTATGCGGGATGAACGTCACATTTGATTAAATGGCTTCGGTCTATAGCGAAAAACTACCGTTTGGAAATCAAAAAAAAATCTCTTCTGCTACTTCTAAAAGACCTTTGCTTGCACAAAACTTACCTTTCACATAGGGTTTGCGGGCTAAGAATGGCAATTGAGTTATTGGCTAAGTTGTCGTCAAGGCAGAGCGCTATAAAAACATGATTACGGTTTTTTTTGTGACACAAAGTAGGCGTTTTTTACTTCAATGGTATGTGGTTTTAGCACAATGTTCCAACATCGCATAAATCTCATGGCATCAATCACTTTATTACAAGGAAACTTCAACAACCATTTAATCTCAAAAAATGTCTATGTGAGTCTACCATAGAGATCATGTGATATAACACTATTGGACTTTTTATTTTTGGGATTATACTGAAGCATTGGCTTATCGTAGTAAATCACGAACTCTCGTCACGACCTTATTTATCGCGATTACTCGTATTTTTGATGAAATAAGCGTAGATCTATGTGAAAGAGTCAAAGGCGATCATTTACGTGAAATCATTTTGAAATAAAAAATTCAGCTTAATTTTTATTACAAATTAAATAGAAATAAAAGCATTTATTTGATATATATATATATATACATTATAAATGCATCTATATTTCATATAGCTGGGTATCACTTAGGCAAAAGAAAATATCAACAATTGTAAAACGCCATCTTTTAATTACGTGCATTTGCTAGAGCGACAAGTAATCGGTACTTAATAGCAAGTAATCGCTAAAATCACCTCAAAGTGTTGTTATTTACTTTTTATCACAATATGCATGAGTTCATGCGATGAAAACTAAGTCAATTTATTTGTATTGTTGCGATTAAACCAGCAGCGGTGGTCGCGGTGCTCGGTCATAAACGTTAGTTATCTAATAAATTGTTGTGGACAATAAATCAATAAAAATGAGTGTTTTACAAATGACTTCTCTGAATTTAACGCGAATGTCGAGGAACTGTGCAACAGGTAGCAACAATACGATTATTAGCTTGTATGCGGCAATAAGAAATTTCTCGGCCACTCCCGTCTTAGCCGATAAACATGAGTAAGTCTTGTATGAATATATGAGGATTTTAATCTCGACCTAATTCAACATTTAACTAAAAAAATAAATAAAAATAAAACAAATAAAAATATTATGGTGCGACATGGCTCACCGATAATACTCTACACTATTTCGCTTAATGCCGTTGTTCATGTAACGATTTTTCAAAATAAGGTGTTATGTGGAGAGTGACCGAATAAATGATCCGAACCAAAATTTTTTGTTTTTTACAAAAGCGTTCGTTCCTGGTCCAAAATATATCGGTGCACGAAATTCTATCGAAATATATCTAAAATTTAGAGCAGTAGGTTGAACACAACGATTCTAGAAGGATAGACAAGTTTAAATCCATTCAGCAAGTGATTCTAATCGATTTCAAGCCCATCAAGTCTTGTTCAGAAAAGAAAGAAAATTCGTCTCAAATCGAACGTTTTTATTATTGTCAGACAAAGTTGGAAAATTCATTTCATCTGTTAGTCTGTTGGACTAAGAAACTTATATACGCTTTAGAGCGAATCGCAAAATCCTCTCCTCTAGAAACAACAATATGTATTTAAAATGTCACCTATCAAATGTCAACATCGTGGCTTGATTTTTTCTACTACACTTTTTCGTACCAATTGTGTACCATATAGACAGTCACTATACCTAAATGCTAGATGAAGTTGTCGTTTTCCTCTCAAGGATTTTTCTTGACGCCTTATATAATAATAATAAATAAGTTGAGAAGTTTTATCCCACCGACAACGAGTCCACTTTACAAGCGATATCGCTACTCTGTCCTCTTAAAATATTGCAGATACGCGTTTAAGCAAATAATGTTAGCGTTAACTTAATAATGTATTTCGTTAAACAAGTTGCTAATATTATATATATCTTATCTTCACTTGAACGCATTAATAATTCCATTATCTGCTACGCGTAATCCATCATGCAGTGCTCTTTTACGAATGACTTGCTGTCTGCGAACAATAGCAAAAAACCTTGGATTATTTTTATTCCTTTATTCATTTTTGGTTTCTTTTTTTTTAACCATGGGATGATGATCACGGCAAAAGAAGCGGAGAAAGCCGAATAGTATATAATTGGCCGTAGTCTAGGAAGCGTATGCCCAATCGTTAAGTGTTACGTCTTTACCGTCATAAGTAATAATATGATTCACCGCGCTGAGAATGGAACCCGAGTACATCACATTTCTTATCTGCTAGGCTAAGGCTAGGCTAACTACAACAACGCAATCATTTATTTACATTTACTATATATATATATATATGAACACTTTGCAGATGCCAGGTGCTTGTAGTTGGAGGTGGTGCTGGTGGTTGTGCCGTGGCTGCCAAGCTATCAAGAAAATTGGGCCCAGACAAAGTTATCATAGTAGAACCGGCTGACGTAAGACGCGATAATTAAAGCTAAAAGTCCTTAACATTAATTTAATCCGTTTTTCTTGCAGAAGCACTACTACCAGCCTATGTTCACTTTGATAGGCGGAGGTATGAAACGTTTGGAACAATCATTTAAACCAATGGCCAGTGTTTTGCCAAAAGATGTGAAATGGTTGCAAGAGAAAGCTGAGCAATTCGATCCAAAGAATAACACGGTAATTACTTCGGGTAATAATAATATTAAATACGATTTACTGCTGATAGCAATAGGCTTGCAACTCAACTATGATAAGGTAAATTTTTCATTACATTTTTTAAAAATATTCATTAAATTATAATTTGCTTAAGATTCCTGGTTTGGTGGAAGCTCTTGCGATACCTAATGGCAAAGTTTGTTCCATCTATTCGCCCAAATATGTGGAAAATACTTTGGAATGTTTACGTCGAACAGAGAACGGCAATGCTGTATTTACCTTTCCCGCTAGCCCTGTTAAATGTCCAGGCGCACCGCAAAAAATTATGTATATATCCGAACATTACTTTCGTAAAGTAAGTTGATAACTTATTTACCTTTAGACTGCTATACGCTTAAACGTTCTTCTTCCCCACATTGAAATACAAAAAAAAAAAAAGAAAATAAAAGAGAAACAAGAAAGAATTAAATTTAATATACCCCACCTGCTCATATAAAAGATTCGATTTCAAGATTCCGTACACTCTGTACATACCTGTCGTACATCATGTCGACCACAATATTATAGCGGTGTCTTTGACTTTGTGCGCTCTATACAGAGCTTCCAGTGCTGTAATCACTTCTACATAGAATTGTTGCAATTAGTTCGTTATTGTATAGAATATGAAGAATTTGAGAATGAAGCAAAGTTTATGCTTTATGTGTAAATGCAATAATAATAATAATAATAAATAAAAGCAAGTAAAAACACTGTAGTGGAGCTGGGCCCACCATTGAATATTCTAGGATGGCCGCTACGGTTGGCGGGTATGGCGACTTTTCAAAATAAAGCGTTATACGGGAAGTAGTCAAAAAACTGGTTCGATCGGAACCACTTCTCGTAGTGTTCGTCCTTGGGCCAAAATGGTTGAACCTAAGAAAACAAATCAGACAGATGGCTAGACGAGCCTAGAAATAGGGGATATGAATCTGAATCGATCGGTATAATAAAATGTGGGTCTATTTCGAGTCCTTCTCTCCTTCTAGTCGTATATCCGCACAAACTTAATATAACCTCGTACTACAAGACGAGTAGACTACTACTCAAGTAGTCTAGTAATAAAAAATGTTTATATAAATGGAGCGTTCACCTATGATCCGTATATTATTTGTTCTTAAAATCTTTTAACTCTCAACTACTAATCGAAACAATGGCTTGAAAACTCAAAAATATTTCTTCAATACTCCGCAATAGACCCTTTGGACAGATTATATTAACGAGAGTTTAAAAACAACAAAAAAAAAACAAAGAAAATTATAATGAATTTACGTATTTTCGCCATTCGCAACTGTTGTTATCTAAACTTGGGTTATTTTCATATATTTTTAAATCTTTCAGTTAAATAAACGCGGTAATATTAACGTGATATACAATACCGCACTACCTGTATTGTTTGGAGTAAAGCATTACGCAGATGCGTTATGGCCGATTGTCAAAAAGCGCAACGTGACTGTCAATACACGTACGAATTTAGTAGAAGTTAAACCTGCAATGGATATGGCGATCTTCGAGAACTTGGATAAACCTAATGAAAAGTTTGAACAACAGGTAAGAGAGTGATTTACATAAATACATGAATTTCACTTACCGGGCTCACTTTCACTTATCCTTCAAGTATTCCATGTTACACGTTGTGCCGCCAATGAGTGCGCCTGATCAGTTAGCTCAATGCAAGGATTTGGTAAACGAGGCCGGTTTTGTAGATGTGAATAAGTCGACTATGCAACATGTTAAATATAAAAATGTGTTTGCTATTGGTGATTGCTCTGGATCACCCAATTCAAAAACCGCCGCTTCAGCAGGTATGATATTATAGTTAATTTAAGTGCATATATAAAAAATGTCCCCAATTCTTAATTCTTTGATAAATTTATTACATAGCGGCCCAATCCCCAGTGGTCTATCGTAATATGATAGCCGCCTTAGAAGGAGAAGAGCTTAAGGCCACATACGATGGTTATGCTTCCTGTCCTTTGGTGACCGGTTATCGTAGTTGTATTTTAGCGGAATTCGATTATGATTTAAACCCGTTGGAAACATTCCCCGTAGCACAAAACAAAGAACGTTACTCTATGTTTGTATTAAAGAAAAGCTTAATGCCTGCTTTATACTGGAATATGATGTTGAAAGGTTATTGGAATGGACCAGCCATGATGCGTAAAATAATGTCGATGTTTAAATTCGGCAAAAATTAAAAACTATATAAAAGTCAATTTTTCATCAATAGTTTGTAAAAATATAAACGAAATTCTATATGAATGACGTAATACGTCCAATAATGTTCCATGGCGTACTTGTCGGTATGTCGCGATTACGACTATTAAAAATATTAGCTATAAAAACCTTTATCAAGACTTGCAAATCGTAAATCGACCCACATGGATTGTTTGTGCAACAAGCTTTCCGATATCTGTTATCTTCAAAGAAGAAGCTGAGCAAATTCAAATTTTAATAAAAAAAGACGAAAAACTTTTTAAATCATGCTTTTTATTCTTATTAAAAGTCTATCCCTTGAAAAAAAGATCCGACAGACATGGAAAGTGTTAGGGCTCGTTCTACTTTCAATCCTAGAATTTATTTCGTTTGTCTAAGTAAGTTATGAGCATTAAAAACGGTACAGTGGGGCACACCATCTTCCAGTTATCCATATATCGAATTTTACAAACAACGCGTTATATGAGAAGAGGCCGAACGAATGGTTCAATCTGAACCATTCTCAATAGCGTTCATCTTTGGGCCAGAGCACGTCTATGTACCGAATTTCATCAAAATATCTCAATAATTGCGCCCTGTAGTTTAAGTACGAGAAAGTAAGACGGATGGACGGACAAAGAAGATTAGAGAGATGTATATTCTTAGTTCTTCTGGGTGTTGCATACATTCGCACAAACTTAATATTCATGTGTTCTACAAGTGGCGTAGGGTATAACAAGGCAACTTTAATAATAAAAATGACTTAAAATTTGAAATCACTAACATTCGTTCGAAATTTGTAAATTGAAAAAACTGCACATTTCTCATTGCAACATTATCACATATTAATCTACTTAAACTGGATAGAACAGCTCCCTTAAGTACCAAATTTCGTCAATATATTTTTAAAAATTACGATATTTGTTACGATATATGTTGCTCGACTCATAAAATGGTTCTGAATTCATTAGGATAATAAAAGACGAGCCACGCTCAAGTCGTATCCGCACAAACTTGATGTCACAAAGAAGCTTAGAAAATATGACGTGAAATTCTGGTAGCATTCGGCGGCACAACCGAAATCTATCAATTTTGTGTTAGTCATTTAATAAAATCTTCTTCTTAACCTCGTATTTATCTTAGTTGCACGCTTCAATTGCGTTTACTTGTTGACGGTGGAGTGTTTGAGCAGTCGTCTGGTCCTTCCCAGGAAAGACGACCAAAGACAAAATATAGCTTCACATAGCGGATATCCGAAATTTGCCACCGTTGATGCAGCTTCAGTTATTTGGGATCGTTATCCCTCTCGCACATTGTTGTGGTATATTATTTACCTCTCATCGCCCCTTACGAGCGCTCGTTTCAGCAGTGATTTGTAGATTGAAATTAATTCATCGCGTTATTAACTGATACGGCGCCCTAATGTCGAGCCTCTTTAACATCAAAATTTCTAAAGCGGAAATGTGATCTTTGCGTGCTACTGATTTTGATAAAGAACTCTCAGGATAGAAAACACAATTTTTTTTTTTTGACAAATCGGATTTTAAAAACATTCCTAAGCGTTTCGATTAAGTCGAAGTAAGGTTTTTAAAATTTTACCTCATTTTCGAAACGAAGTTATTTTCAAGCGCATAAATGAATGAAGTGCCGAAAAGGCTTTGTTCTTTGCACACCCATGACCGTAGGATGAGGGGTACATTCATTTTCTTAAAACGTTTGCAACGCCCAAAAGAAAGCTTCGTAGACCCCACAAAGTATATATATTTTAGATAAGCGTCGAATTTCCAATATCTGTTGTAAACATTCTACTGGCCGCAATAATTAGGCTATCGGTTTCAGATATGGCAAAAACATTGAAAGTTCTTGCTCGCCGATTAGTATTGAAAAAGGACTAAATCGGTCGAACAGGACATGTACTACATTAATTGAGAATATCTCTGTTCGTCAAAAGGAATAAAAAATTGTTTTTTTTTTTTCATTACTCATAAACTAAAGCAAAGATATCTACAAAAATTTGAACGTATATTCGCTGTAGTATCTGTACAAAAATGACAAAAATTGATCACACTTGCCCGATATTATAGTGTATCAAGATTTGATTTTTTTGTCAAAAGCTTTATAACGCTTAGAAGCAAACTTGAAAAACATGACTAAGTGTACAAATACTTGGCCTGTTTTAAATACGGAATGTGTCGGATCTGTGGTACCCGTTCACCCATTCGCAAAAATAAAGATATTGTCGTCTAGCGGATTTGCAAAAGAATGTGATAATAAACTCCAATCGGTCAAGAGACACGCTTGCAATGCCTCAAGCTTTTGCAGCAAAAACTGTGAACACCTTTGTTCGCCATGTTTTCTTATTTGTTACTCATAAAGTACAACGCATGCACCATACAGCAGATTTCCACTTTTATTCGGAAAATCGAAAAAAATCAGTTTCGCGCGAAAATTTAATCCTTTTCGTTATTTTCTCTTTTGTGTTTTTTTTTTTTTTTTTTTTGCTAGTCTCTCTTGGGATAAGGGTAATGGGTCTCAAAGATTCGGTCATGACCGAATAAAATTTTCTTACTTCATTTAAACATAAATGGACTGTCATCAGTGACGCGATCCTGTTGAGAATACCACAGCGAATATTATCATTAACCCATTATATGTTTATATAATACGCGTGAGAGAAATATGCAAAAAAATTTAAAATAAATATTTGACATTTATTTTGGTTTTATTTTTTTCATTATCACAGTAAAAAATATTTGAAAAACACATAAGAAAACTTATATTTAACAATAGTAATTAACAACAATAAGCATTATACACAAATACTGACATTGACTTAATATGAAATCATAAAGTAATATAAATAAATAAATAAATTTATTAACTAAAAAATAAAGAGCACAATTTAAATTATCATAAATAAATATATTCACGACATACACAAATATATATATATATGTGTGTGCGTGTGCGTGTGTGTGTGTGTGTGTGTGTCTAAAATAAATACAACATGACAAATAGGAATATATCGTTATAAAAAAGATGTTTTGCGAGTTACTTCATTTTTTGGTTTTCCTCTTCTGTTTCCTTTCATAAGTAAACAAAATAGTAAAACCAATGAAAACTAATTAAATAAATAATCAAATAAATCAATCAAGTAAATAAATATATATAAAAAAAAAAAAAATAGGTCTGTATTCGTCTTGAAGCGAACCTTGAATATCCATCACTTCAGGCCTACGATTACCTAAAGAAATTTCCGACATTTTATCTCAAGCTTTCGATTTCTCTCTCCCTTGAATATACGTAATGGTTTTACACTCTTCAACTCTGATATTCGTTTTTAGATCTAAACCAATCAATCAATTAATCAATCAATCGATCATCATCATCATCATTCGGTAATGGGTGAGGGAAATTGATTTAACAACCTCAATAACTCAATGATAATTTATATTCATGTGCTCTCTTTTCGAAGGCTCTTTAATGTTTCGTAATGCTCTTACATAATAAATAAGCAATTCTTAACAAAAGAAATGAGAGAAACGAAACGATGAGGAAATAATGCAAGGAAAGAGCAGCACGCGAATATTGTCGCTGTCGTTTAAAATTGAGTAAAACTCGTAAAATTTGCTTCAATTTACAATAGATTTTGTTTTCACCCAAAAAAAAAAAAATGTAGTTTGAATAATATTCGATTCGGATTCTCATTCTCTGTTAAAGAGTGGCGGAGTGCCGAGTGCCTATCAATAAACAGTTTACTGTAATCAGTTATTATAAAAACGACGGCAACATATCCTTCTGACTTTCGCGCGACCATTTAATCAAACTTCGTCTCATCGAAGTTCGTACTTTTTATTTACAAAAGTTGCTTTCCCGTTATTAATTAATTTCTGTTATTATTGTTATTGTTATTGCTATTGCTATTGCTATTATTATTGCTATTATTATTGCTATTGCTATTGTCAATTAAATTTTTCATATCCAAAACCGGAAAATACGAAAAATATCTTGACGTTATTTTTGTACCGCCTAATATACGATCTAGCCTTGTCCAGCCTTAGTTCATCAAAGCTTCGATATTTTTCTAGATCATATTTCCTGATTAAATGGTCGAAAATCGGAAGGAAATTTCGATTAGCTATTTATTTCTTTTAATATATGGGCGCGATGTTCTTTATTTTTTTGTTTTTTTTTTCTTTTTTTTTTTTGTGTAAACATCACTACATCGACAATAGGTCTTCATGATTCAACTTAAGCCGAATACCTTTATTTTTTCTAAAAATAAATAATAATAAGTATTGCTTTTATTGCTAAGTCCTTTAATTGCGCGAAACACTTAAACAACACCCATTCGACTATAAATGAAAAGGAACGCTAACTAAGCTGAATACATTTTCCTTACCGCACAATGCAACGAAAAGTCTTGTTAGGAAAAAAAAAAAAAAAAGAAAATAAAAAAATAAAAAGAAAAACGAAGAAGGAATTTTTATAAGCATCGCCTTACAAGGTAAACAACAGACAAATAGAGTGAAAAAGAGGTATTAGAGATCGAGAGAGATAGCGAGAGAAGTTTGCCGAATTTATCTTTTGTTTCGTTTCAACTATAATACGATCTCAAACTGAACATTTTATATACAATATAGATTGAATTGAAAGAGAATGAGAGCTAAATTTACAAAAAAAAAAAAAATAAATATTCCTATGCATAGGCATATCATTATACATACATACATACATACATACATACATACATATATATATATATATATATATATATAACATTCATCGACTATGAATCACTAAAAATTTGCTTTACGTCTGGACTAAACGGGCATAGTTGAAAGGGCAACGACAACAAGGTATGAGAAACATTTCAATTTCAAAGTGAACAAGACAAATAGATCGCGTTAATGTACACATTTTTTAATAATCTAAGGGCTCTGTTTTAATTAGATTGGAAAACTTTTTTTACCTTCTAACATCTAATGCGAACCTATTAAGGTAATCAAAAAACAGAAAGAGAGAGAGAGAGAGAGAGAGAGAGAGAGAGAGAGAGCGAGATAGATAGATAGAAACGGAAATCAAGGTGTTCGCAGTTTTGGCTGTCTTCAGTCACGTTATGAATGTCTCATAAAATACTTCTAACTAAATTAATTTCTATAAAACTTTTACTAAACGAAGTGTAGTTAGAAATTTGAATTTCCTAAAATGCAAACATCATGTCTTGCAATCTACACTGGCTTGGATTGATTTTGCAACAATCGTAAAGAAACTATTCTTTTTCTCGTTCTCGCGACGTCACTGCCGTAACCTTAATTGCTTAATCATCCGTAATGATGTCTTTGCGCGCTTTAAAATTACGCCACGAACCGTTTGTGCAAACACCCGCACCACGCCACCAATCATTAACATCCGTATACCAACGCGGTTTACGCAGCGAGTCTTCATCGTGCAGCGCGGCACATACCCGACACCAATAATATGTATTTATGAATTCCCCCGTTCCCTTCCAATTAAAGTATGAATTATATAATTTATCATCTTTATCCAGTATATGCAAATAATCGGCCAATTCACTTGCCGAGGCAAATTCATCTATATGTATATAGGAGCGGTGTGGTGCACTGACTTCATAATCTTCGGGTCGTGCACCCATAACTATGGGCAATATGTTACGATTTAAGGCGTTTACAAAAAATTTCTCAGTTACATAGTCTTTGCAGTTGGAATTTTCAAATGCGAGGTAAAATTTATAATCACGATCCAACATTTCAAAGCATTTATCGGCCGTTACCCGTGAACATTTATAATTGCCGCAAGCCCCATAAATGTCAACCTTAAAATAAAATTTGATGCGTTTAGTATCCGATTAACTCGATATATATATATATTTACTTCGATATATTTGCTTAATTCGTGTGCGTACTGTAGACGACCGTTACGTGCTCCGCAATTTGATACAAACCAGGCAACCCGTTTCGTCTTATTGCTGGCATAATTGCGATCCTGTTCAATCTGTTGAATACGACTGTCATAATATTGCCATTTCTCGTAAGGGGCCACAATATCGCTGTCGCGTCTATAGATTGCGGTGCATGTAAAAAAAATACAAAATTTTTGATTAGACAAATTCTTCTTTTTTTTTTTCATACATTTTTTATTAACTCTTCACCTATATGTTGCCGTCCAATTGATGGCATCAGCTACTTTAACGTTCTGCGTATGATAGGGGCATTCCAAGTAATATAGCATTGTGACTTGGTGGGAATTGGCTGGACGCCTAAAACCTGTCGGTATATAATGATCTTTATATAGAATCATATCTGCGGTATTGGCGCGATCACGAACAGCTGTAATTTCACACGTATCCACCGGACATTTCGAGCGTAGGAAGACTTCGCGACCTAGATAATAGAATGTACATAAAAACATATATATATGTAACATAATAATGATTTCTTGTTGCTGTATTCTCTTATTCGAATATACCTTGTTTAACATTCCAAGGACCCAAACCGTTATACAATAGAATGGTTTTCAATTTGCCACTGACCTTAATTTCGTCATAATTGGATGGTACATACATAAGTTGATTTACAATACGATCACTGTGTGGATCTTGAAATGGGAACAATTTCGAACCCTGTAAATGAGCTTTTTTACCTTTGCGTTTTTTACGCACCGGCGCCGGATTCGGATAATATTTGCCATTCTTGAAAAACCAAGCTCTAACATTCGACTGTAAAGGATCGGAAGCAATTTGATTTTGTTGCAGTTGCTGGTGCTGCTGGTGCTGCTGGTGCAGCTGCTGTTGCTGGTGCTGCTGCTGTTGCTGTTGTTGTTGTTGTTGCTGTTGTTGTTGTTGTTCACTGTTGGTTAACTCTGTTTCAGTATTCGTGATTTTCGTAGTATGGACTGTTTTGCGGATTGATAATAAGTTTTTGTCATCGTTCTTGTTATCCTCCATTTCAGGACTATAGGTTTCGTCATTATATTTATCATCATAATCATATCCGATATTTGAATGAGGCAAAATTAAGTGTTGTTGTTGCTGTTGTTGTTGTTGTTGTTGTTGATGTTGATGTTGATGTTGTTGTTGTTGTTGCTGCTGCTGTTGATGCGTTAATCGTGTGGATGTAAGCGAGAAATGAGTCGATGCTTTCGATTTCCATGCTTCACGTTCTCTAAATAAATATATATATATATATATATATATATATATACACAGAATGGATATAGGCCGAATGAATAAGTTTACATTGTACTTGAAATAACTAAAAGATTATTATGTTTACTTTAAATTAAATCCGAATATAAGCAGCAGAGCACATATTATTGTGAAATAAAAATATTTCTTTAATGATGTTTTCGGACGTCTCATGTTAATTTGAATGAAACCAAATTTCTGCCGCTACTAAACTATTCATTAGAGGCTCCACATTTTCTTCTCCTTTCGTAATAGTTTTCTGTTATTTGAGATATAAATATGAAAACAAAACATTAACATTTTTTTAAATTTTTCATTTTAAGAGAATCTTTATTATTATTATTATTAAAAACAAAACGATATATGATATTTATATGATATTTTTTTTCTTTCTTTATATATTATTTTAAAAATAAATAAAAAACGAAAAAAACACTTTTTATTCTTTTTTCAATATTGTCATACGATTATTTTTCGCAAAATTATTTATTGATTTTTTTTATTATTTTTTTTATTTTTTTTTTTTATTTTTTTGTTTTATTTAATTTGGTTAATAAAAACTTTTTTATTCTATTGGTATTAGATTTAAAAAAAGAATACGAATTTATGAGAATATTTAATAAGATGGTTAACTTTTTTCAATGACATGTTTTTCACTAACAGTTAAAACTCTTTTAGTCACAGATGAAAACAATTCTTGCTCACATTTATAATTCTATTATCTGCTAGCGGTAATGTTTAACTAACTAACTAACTCATTCTTAATTGAGGGCGGCATATTAGTTTTGTGCACGCGATTGTAACACGAAAACATTTGCCTGAGATGTCCCGGCAAACGTGATGAATCAATATCTTCATCTATATATCTCAGGGTCCCGCTGCATGGCTACTTGACCAGCCTCATCATTAATAAAATGCCCAATAATACTCATGTCTGTGTGTGTGTGTGTGTGTGTGTGTGTGTGTTGAATCAGTTTAAAACGATTATTCGTCTTCAGATTTCACGTAAATGCTTGTTTCCACTAATACTTCTATATATCTTGCATTGTTCATTTTAGCAATGCACACGTAACAGTCCAACCTATTCGGAAAGAAGCTATGATTTTAAGAAAGGAAACGAAACCTATACAATAAACTTCCTAAGTAATTCACACGAATATTTAATGGAGAGGTAAGCGTAAACTCGTGGGCCTAAACTTAAGACAGAAAAAATCTTAAAAAAGCTTAAAAAGCCATAACTCGTATTTTTGGCATTTACATTTTTGTGTTAAAAACACAAATAAAAACACTATAGTGGAGCATCGCGGATCATTAAGTACCCTACACGAATCCATAATTATTTATACATCGACTTCTTACTTGATTTGACATTGAGATGTTATATGGAAAGTGATCGAAAAAGTGATTTGATTCAAATCTTTTCAATACCATTCGTGCTTGGAAGAAAGTGCGGCAGTGTACGAAATTTCATCAATATATCTCAAAAATTGCGAGCTACGGACAGACAAGCTTAAAAGGTGTTGCATAAATCCTCACAAAATTAATATACCCTTGTTCTGTAAGCAACTACCACAGGAAATTTATTAGGTTCGAAAAGTTCGTGTGTTGATTTCATCCTGGCATCACCAAAAATCGTGCGTAGAATAAGATATTTCGCCTTAAAACGAACGTTTTTATTAGCGGCAGAGGAAGTTGGAAAACTCATTTCATCTGTTCGTCTGACGCATAAGTAATCCACGCATATCGCATAAGAATTAAGAAACCGCAAGTAATATAGAGTATAAGTGATTTCAGAAGTGAAGTGAGTGTACCGCGGAAGAGACGCGATTGTGTATTTACGACAGAGTGCTTTCTAATGAGTCGCATCCGGTTTCAGGCCTGACTTATGTAACTTACCTTTAGAAGAACGAGAAAATTTCCGTATCAATCAATATTCAATTTTGTTGAAAAATTTCGAAAAGCCATAAAAATAAAAATAATTTCAATAATGTGGACGAACACTTAGGGACATGTCATTAAATGTGCATCTTATGCTTGTAAAATACTAGCACACGTTTTAAGGTCTCTAACACGCATACTTGGGTGCTTGTATTCGAGTCTAGATTTATTTTCAAAGGAATATAAATACTTTTCGATATCAATTTTGCTACATGATTAATGATGATATATATGTGTGATATGTATCACACACATTTATCAACTGTTATCTTATAAGGGGTGTGTGCATATGATAACAGAGAGAAACAATTACATAAATATATTTTCAAATTTATTGCATATGCAAGCGACGTCGCAATATAAATAAGAGGTGTGTGTGTGTTGATAAAAGCGTATTGACCTCAACTGCTGGCGAATACGAATTTTCGAAGCTTCATTCTAATTTCTATTATTCGCGTGTACTAACTTTTCATTTCTTCACATCTCTATATGTATATATATATATATATATATATATGCCATGGCAGATTGACTCTAAATAGATTTAGATCAGTTTTTGTTATCATTCATCTGCTTGGTTGCCTTGTCTTACGATCACTTCTTTCAAGTCAATCAGTCTTTACGTTGAATCGAGGAAAAAGTTCGTGGCGTTTTTTGCAATAAAATCGTGTAACTTTAATAACACTAACACTATCAAACCATACACATTAAAAAAAAAAAAAATCTAGTAAGAAAATTATAATTTATCCTGAGCGCGAATCTTTAATAACCACACCTGATCTCTTTAAACAAAATTAAAGAAAGAAGCGGACAGATGTAATTTTTATATTCTTGAATATATTATTATTATTATTATTATAAATTTAGCCAGAGAATAAATTCTCAGAGTAAAAGTCTTAAAGCACTAGCATTTGAGGCTTTATTAAAAACTCTACCGCCCACGACCATTGAATTGCTAGTCGAGACTCTTGTCTACTTGGCCATTCAGGCGGATATTTCTTGAATATAGGATATAGGGCGTGCCTGTTTATTTTCATTTTTATAAATTACACGTGGAAATTTTTATAATTTATAAATGAGTAGTGAGATAAGATGAGATATTCTCAGTCCGTGTTACGCTGCAGGCATATCTCTCGACTTAACTGGCACATTTTCAATATTAGCCTAAGTGCATGAAGTTCTCATGTCAAATGTAAGACTGTTAGCTTTCTTTTTTCGGCCAGAAGACACAGACATTAGACAGAAGGAAAGATCAGCGAATGGTTAGAAGGATGAGGTTTGCGAATTGCTACATATCGGATCTAGTAACAGATCTTTCTTTTATTTTTATAGGCTTTTTTTGAAATCGTTTTTACAAATTTCAAAGAGATCCGCGCAGAGCGAAACAAATGTTAGTCGGGTTGGTGTAGGGGCGAGTAACACTGCGGATGTATAATGCATTTACGATTCGCCATCCAAGGCGCCTACGTACTAAAATGACTTCCCACACAAACTTGGTGTACCACTCCCCTTCGCGGGGCCACCTTTAGGTATTAATTCGCGGGAGCTGGTTGTCGTTAGCACGCTTCCAGTGGGATACACTATTGACTTCCACATCCTCTGCTCTCCACCCGTTGTCTCTCCAGTCGTCAAAGCTTCTCAAGGGTATTGCTAGCGAACGCGTCTAGGGCGTTCCAAGCTGCAGCACTGCCGATCAGTACGCTCGTTATCTGGTTAGGCGGAACATGAGGCCACCCGTTCTCAAATCTATAGCGGTAGAACGTTACGTGCTCTGCGTCTTCCTTCGTATCCGCGCATATTGGGCAGTTAGGCGAGGTGTCGTGCCCGAATCTGTGTAGATACTTCCGAAAGCAGCTATGGCCAGTTAGAAGATGGGTGAAATAACCTCGCTGTGGCGTGTTTCAGCCCATCGTCTTATGCTAGGGATAAGAACGAACGTCCATCTTCCGTTGGTCGTTCTTTCTTACCTCGACTGCCATATCCTCAACGAGGCCATCCGTTCTTCGCTTCTTATAAAGCGTGAGGAGAGCTCGTTGCCTCGACGCCGTTCGTAGATGCGGCTCATCTCGGCGGCCAGAATGTCGACTGGCAGAGTGCCAGCTAGCACTAGCGCTGCTTCTTCCGACACTGCCTCAGGGCGCTAAGGTGTGTATATATGTTTGTGTATAAACAAGTATGCAGGGTTCGAGCGTGAACGTATTTTGACCCTTAAAAAATTACGGGGGAAAGGAAACTAAAACGCAGAACTCTGCTAGACTGATTTTCATAATTAAGGTAAAACATGCAGGACATGTTTATTTAATATATAGTGCAAGTACTTATCAGGGCCCTGTAAATATCCATTGCATGTTAGAACCGAACTGTAAGTTAACAAAAAAGTGGAATTTTTCGATTTTTGTAGGGTAACTTTAAAAGGTGTTTATCAAAAATTCATTTGAAAGTGAACTATTAAACAAATAAAAAAACTCTCCACGAGAATAAATTCACTGATTGACAGCAATTGCAAGGAAAATGCAAAAAAAATTATTTTTGCTATAAAGTAATTTATAAACAACATACAAAAAATATAAAAATGTTTAAGTAAAATCTGGAAACGGGTGCTGTTCCATGCGAAAAAATGGGCGGAGAGACACACGGCCTGTATAGTTAGCTGTGCGGCTGATTTGCCGGACGGTGCACAAACCTTCTGCCATGGAATGCAAATTTGCTAACTTATGTCTCGTCGCTTAATAACACACATTTTCCATCTATCAAATCTTTGCCTTCAGCGAAACAGACTCTGGAAACTGGTCAAAGCTTATGCTTATCAAATTTCTGTAAAAATTAATTTCTTATCATCTCTGCGAGAATTTTAATTTCATTCGCGATGTCTTCGTTGAACTTAACTGCATGTTATATGTCTTTGCAAACAATATCTTTGGTAAGCGGAAACAGTAGCTTGCTTGACTTTTTAATAGGATCATTCCATCCATCATAGAAGAACATTAACAACGCCAACAGTATTGTTAAAAACATTTTTTTTTTTTTGCAAAAATATTTGATTTGATTTCAATTTTTCTTAAGTCTTACGTTTAAAGTTTTAGTGCCAAGTCGGTAGTGGACGGAATTTATTGAATTTAAACAATAAAAGTGAAATATTCTTTTAAGAAAATTTTGAGTTTGTCAACCGTAACTGCTTTTTAAACTGCATAGTTTTTCTTTATCCGCCTGAGCGGGCGAGTAGGCTAACGCTCTCAGCTAATAAATGGGTTAGAGTTTACCGTAAGGTAAGCTTTAAAAGTTTTAATCTTTGAATTTATTTCTTTGACTAAATTTATTTAT